AAATAAAGTGAGCATTGTAGACTATGTTCTTGAAATCAATATATTTGAAAATGTAGAAAAACATCCAAAACTACTTACTTTCAATTGGTGGTCTATTGATTAAAAGTGCGATGAATATTTTTGAGTTAATCGCGTGAGTTAAGTGTGATTAATTGACAGCCATAATCTCAACCTTTTTCACCCACCATCCAAATCCCACCCACTTGTCTCTTTAGTGACTCTCTAGCTCAGAATTGTTTGAGGTGTTTTAACCAGAAATGTACAAAATGCTATGATAGAGACCATCTTCTTATAGCCAAAGTCAGACTTCAGTTATGTTTATAAACTTGATAATTTTATATTGTTAATGAAAATATCATGGAAATGTACATTCCCTGGTGCTATGTCTTCAGTATGCCTAATGACTGCAGGGGTTCGTAATTTAAAGATTTTTTTCTTCACACCCAGAAGGGCTAGAAGCATAGTTAATAACAGAAATATTGTGTGTATTAAAGCCATTACACTCCTACCCCATTTCCCCTCATGAAAATAGCCATAGACACCAACTTTGTGGGTGCTCCAGGGCCAGAGTACCCACAGATTAAAAAATGGTGAGTGCTCCCCACCCCAGCACCTCCCGCCCACCACTGTCAGCTATTCCGCAGCATGCAGGAGGTGCTGGGGGTGGGAGAGGAGCGAGGGCCAGGTGTGCTCGGGGGAGGGACTGGGGGTAGGGCCTGAGCCAGGGATGGGGGAGCACTGCCCATCACATTAGAAACTCTGCATATGAAAATAGCTATCCCATCCTGGGTTTGAAAACCAGCCAATTTCTGTATGTTTGTAGTCTATACAGAGAACATTCCCCCCTGTATGTTAATATTAGTGGTAGGAGAAGGACTCAGAGCAATGCATCTGGAAGAAAGAGACCAAGGATTATAGGAAAGCGGGTGGTAGCATCTGGCAGTAAACGGGCACAACAGCAATAAATTACTAATGGCACCTTCTCGTGTAGAAGGTCCTCAGCTGGCTGCAACTGGAATTTTGTGGTCAGGGCTAATCACTGACTTTGTCAGGACAAAATGGGAAGATAGTATTGAACAAACAAGATTAATCTGGATAATGGCAGGAAAGACTGCTAATGTTAAACATGACCAGATTCTATCATGCTGTGTGTGTAAGTATTTATGGAAGGAGCTGCTCAACCAACTGTGGTCATAATCTGAAACTAAAGAAGGCAAGACTTATGGTAGATGGTTTCTTAGCCAAATGGTCTAGAAAGGCCAGTGGTATGTGAGCAATTAAGGCAAGGACAGATTCTTGAGCCTTCTCTACACTAGGAAAATGACCTGCTGCTGAAAATGCCTGTTAGCTAAGGAAAGTCTCAATCACACTTTCTGTAATGGAGCTGAAAATAGTTTTTTTCTGTCTGCACTAGCAGTTAAACTATTTTCAGCAGTGGGTCAATTTCCATGGGAGACATTACCATATGTGTCTGGTTCTGCTCATTAAGAGGGTGGGTCCCTCTTGCAGCAAGACAGGGTATAGACTATATGACCCTTACCTTCACAAAATGATCTTGTTTCTCTGTCACCCTCTTTTCAGGGTGCTTTTTCTAATGATGCCTACAAGGATGTGAGCTCAGTCTGTCTATTCAGCACAGCCTTGTTACACATCAAAATGGAATGTATTTCCATTTCTGTTGTAAATGTAAATCCTGTCCTCCTTCAGAATATCTACAAATGACTGTATGCCATATGCTATCCATTCCTTCCAGAGCAGAGACCACTTTTGAATCTTAAGCAATGGGCTCAGCTACAAAGATCATTGAGGAAATTAATAATAGAATGAATTATAAAAAGGCTGCTATTTGATTTATTTTACTCTGTATTTAGAGCTTGGGTATAAGTCTGTAATTTGGATTCAAATTAAAGACCATGTTATCAATTCTAACACCCAGTACTGATTCATACCCCTTAGGAACTCAAGAGTATAGTATAGCCACAACTATAATAAGACCTCACCCCATCTATAAAGATTTCTTAACTGTTCTACCTTATCACTCTGCCACCTGTTTCCCTATTACCTTGTAATGGACTGGCTGTTATGGAAAACTATTGCTCTTTCACTGAGTGAGCTGCCTCTTCATCCTGGATTAGAACAGAACATCTTTCTAAAGTCCCTTTAAATCTGAACTGCACTCAATATATTGCTTTAGTTAAAAGGGCAGAGTCCCAGTGACCAGCTCTTTACTGAGGCCCAAGAGGTGTTAGGAAAACTTGTTTCTCAGCAGGTGCAGATTTTTTGTAAACCAGGCTAGTTATATTTCTGCAGGAATTGAGCGGTCAGTCTGCATGGCATAAATTTTGTTGGTAATGCTTGTGCTGGATTAACTTGGTTACTCTTATCTCAGTCTGCAGCTACATGATTGGAACATGAGCGTTCCCAAACTGAGCAGAAAGTCATCCAATAAACACATGATTTCAAGATTTACACAGTTTAGGTTAACAATATGCTGCTGTGGGTTTTGTTTTTTGTTTGTTTTTTTTTTTACCCCCCTCTCAAATTTCTCTAGTAGCTGAAGCATTTACAGTATCAGGGAAAAGCCAGGACAGTTAATTTTAACAAGTTCTCACTGTGCTTAACTGGCTATCTCCTAATGACGATAGCTGGTTAGATACCGGCAAGGAAATACCAGAGATGCACTCTGTAGCTGAACAGAACAAATTAAAGCTGTCCTCATGCTAACACAGGCAAAGATGACTTAAAATATTAAGGGAGGAGCTTGAAATAAAAAATATTGATCAGTCTTATGGAAAATGATTTGGAAAAGAGAGTGGGATGCTTATAAAAGAGCATCACTGCACACAATCATATGAATGCTACAGGAAGATGAAGGTCTGAGATTTCTCCAACTGCAGAGATATGTAAACTGCTGCCTTTTGGAAGCGAACTAAAAGCATGGTCTTTAAGTTCTTTATACTGGGCAGGTTCAGAGTAATAAGGCTCCCTTTTAAGAATCACCTTTATAACAAATACAATTTGTTAAAAATGTAGGAAGAAGTTTTCTCCTGAACTTCTTTGCCTGGGCAAAGTGAGATCTAACACCCAACTCAAGGTGTTTCTTCATCTGGACTGAATCACAATAACTTTTGAAAACTACAACCATTCAATTCCAAAATTTCAGAGAATGTTATAGGCATCAAAGGCCAGATCGCTGTGGATTATGGCAAAAAAAACTGAAATGGGGAAACGAGGGACACATGGAGCCCCAGGGATCTGGTAGTAGCACCAGAAGCTTCAACCACCTCTATAATGGTCTATAGATCAGAGAACCAGTTGTTGGTAGCCATTGACAGATTCCAGTATAACACAAGGCAATAGGAATAGGTTCTTTAAAAACATTGGGATGAAGAGAAAGATGAAGGAAAATGTAGATCTACTTAATGAAGGAGAGCTAATATCGGATATCAAGAAAGCTGAGATGTTTAATACCTATTTTTCTTCAGTTTTCCTTAAAAAGGTTAAGGGTGACCAGATTCTCAACATAATTAGTATTAACAACAAAGCATAAGGAATGCAAGCCAAAATAGGGAAAGAACAGATTAAAGAAATAGTTAGACATATTCAAGTCAGCATAGCCTGGTGAAATTCATACTGGGGTACTTAAGGAACTAGCTGAAGCAATCTCAGAACTGTTAGCAATTATCCTTAAACTCCTGGAGGATGAGTGTGGTCCCAGGGGACTGGAGAAGGGCAAACATAGTACTTATTTTTCAAAAGAGGAACAAAGAGAACCTGGGGAATTATAGACCAGGCATTATAGACCTGGGGAATTATACACCGAACTTTGATACTTGGAAAGATATTGGAACAAATTAATAAACCATCAACTTGTAAACACCTGGAGGACAGTGGGGTTATAAGGAATAGTCAGCATGTTTATTGTCAAGAACAAATCATGCCAAACTAACTAAATTTCTTCTTTGATAGGGATACTGGCCTAGTGTATAGGGGAGAAGTGGTAGCTGCCAGATATCTTGATTTTTTAGTAAGGTTTTTGAGACAGTCACACAAGATATTCTCAAACACTACAAAATTGTGGTCTGGATTAAATTGTAATGTGGGTGTACAACTAGTTGAAAGACTATACTCAAAGGGTAGTTATCAATGGTTCACTGTCAAACTGGGAGGATTCAGAGGAACAGCCGTGTTAGTCTGTATTCGCAAAAAGAAAAGGAGTACTTGTGGCACCTTAGAGACTAACCAATTTATTTGAGCATGAGCTTTCGTGAGCTACCGCTCACTTCATCGGATGCATACCGTGGAAACTGCAGAAGACATTATATACACACAGAGACCATGAAACAATACCCCCTCCCACCCCACTGTCCTGCTGGTAATAGCTTATCTAAAGTGATCACTCTCCTTACAATGTGTATGATAATCAAGTTCGGCCATTTCCAGCACAAATCCAGGTTTTCTCACCCTCCACCCCCTCCTCCCCCCACAAACTCACTCTCCTGCTGGTAATAGCCCATCCAAAGTGACCACTTTCTTTACAATAAGAAAAGGAGTACTTGTGGCACCTTAGAGACTAACCAATTTATTTGAGCATGAGCTTTCGTGAGCTACCGCTCACTTCATCGGATGCATACCGTGGAAACTGCAGCAGACTTTATATATACACAGAGAATATGAAACAATACCTCCTCCCACCCCACTGTCCTGCTGGTAATAGCTTATCTAAAGTGATCAACAGGTGGGCCATTTCCAGCACAAATCCAGGTTTTCTCACCCTCCATCCCCCACACAAATTCACTCTCCTGCTGGTGCTAGCCCATCCAAAGTGTTGCCGGCACCCAGTGCCGAGAGGCTGAACAACAGCTTGAGTGGTTCGTTACCCGGTGTGCTACACCCAATAATCACAACGGGGTGGAGAAGCAGAAAAGTTTATTTGCAGCTGCAAAAAGGTACAGGGAGAATAAAATCTCAAATCCTGCACAACAGAGCAGGAAGTTACACAGGCTTTTATACATCCTTTTTCCCAGCATACTTATCCAATAGCAAGCTGCTCCAAGTATCCATATAGCCAGCCAATCCAGTTCCCAGCTAGTTCCCTGATTCTCTGTATCATTTGTTAAACTATACATAAAGCTGCTTTATTCAGCATTGTTCTTCCATATCTCCCCTGTTTGGCCTTGCTTAGTTTCAGGCAGTCTGACTCTGCAACATACTGTTGCAGATTCTCAGCATAACTGCTGTGTGTGCCTCCAGGCGGGGGGGCCAAGGACACTTGGGCCTAGCACGCAGAGCTGCTGTGAGTGCCTCCAGGCAGGAGGAGGGGGGCCAAGGACACCGGGGCCTAGTGCGAGGGGGCTTCATCGACACTCGTGGTCTTCCATCCCCTCGAGTTACCTAGTGGCCATGCCCCAGTGTTCCCAACAACTCCCCCCTTTGAGAACACTCAACAGCCTTGGCTCTGAGTTTTCTCACTTGGGCTACTTATTTCTTTACAATATGACTTTGCATAAGCACTTTGTGATAGCCCTGAAGAGAATTACTTATTAACTTTTGCAAAAGGGCCCTAACACATGATACTGCACAGCATAATACCAGTAATACAATCAATACAGTAAAGAAAAATTTCAATAGCAGGCTAAATAAACCACCAAGCCAAGACGACAAACCCCAACCTGAAAACAAGGTTTGCAACCAATCGCTCTCTGGAGCAGTATAGGCAACCTGTGCTCCGGCTCGGGCATGGGCCTCAGCCTGTACCACCTTTTTATAGATCTTATAACTGCTATCATTTACATATACACAACATTGGGGCCCGATGAGGGCACAAACCCCTCCTTGGGATGCCAAGAGATAGTCCAAAGCCAGCCTGTTTTGGAGGGAAAACGTCCTGAGCTGCTGTACCTCTTTATTTAATGTTTTTACTGCTGACCCTAAATCACTAACCGAGTCCTCTAACTCTAAGGCCACTTTCTCAAGTACCATCTGCAGCCTTATAGTATAGCGGCCTATGCATGCCATGGCTGGCCCAGTAAACAGTGGCGCTATTCCCAGGACAGAGCACCCTACCAGCTTCTCGGTTGTGAGGGCATTTTTCATATTGCCCTCCAATGCCTTAGTCAGTCGCCGCAGGGTCTTTTCTCGTGACTCAACAGAGGTGTCTCGGGCATTTCTAATCTTTCCTTTGGGCAGTGTGGCAGTTATGGAAAGATGAGGAACTCCATGAGCTATATAACAGCTACCTGTCCAGTTGGCTGGCAGCACCTTGTAAGCCTTTCGGCCACATACAAAATAGTGACCCTGTAGGGCCCAGTAAGGACTGTTTCTTAAGGGGATTCCTGGGATATTTAGGGCTGCTTTGGCTGTTTTTTTTTAAATAATTTATATGCCCCAAAGGGGGCATCCCATCCTCCTGATTGGGTACAAGTGGGGGCATTTCTAATTGTCCCGTTCAAATTACACTCGCCATAGGGACCACTACAAACCCACCATTGGCTTGCTACATTGGAGATATTAACTGGACGGCAAGTTACATTTCCAAACCCCTTTTTTGTGGTAAGATTATTTGTAAGTGTTTCCCTAAAAGGGGAGCAACCATTACACCCACACTGTTGGCCTCCCCTGTTGGTCTTTATCCAATACCCATCAGCCCACTGTGTAATAACACAGGAGCTCTTTCCCACAGGATGCCCATAGGGATCAGATTGGTTTCGGGTAAAACATAACACTCCCTCAGTGAGTACTGCAACTGAATACTCCTGGTCCTGATAGGTGGCTTGCTGTAAAGAGGTCTTGTTCCAGAACGGTGAGTTCGTTCTTTCCTGGTCTTTGGTGGTGGCTAATTCTGCTAGGGTCAAGGGCAGCATGTCAAGGGGCATTCCCGTCTTGGGGGATAGTGGAGTTGGAGCACATACTCAGCAATCAGTCTGGTTTGTTAAATTAGCAACATGGTGCGCAAGCAAAACAAAGGAGTTATGCTCCCGATATGCACAGTTTGGAAATACCAATACAAAGAATAACAATGTTACCCAATTAATTATTACCAAAGTCTTCCCAACCCAAGGTCTCCAATACCTGGGTGGGCCCATTTTAGCATTAAGGTGCCCGCTATTTGTGTCTTTTAAACAGTAGCTTTAGCCCGAGATCTTCACTAGATGAGGAGTCAGCAGGTTGGACGGTCCACTGTTCTGCTGACGAGGGGGCAGGTACTGCCTTCAGACGAGAGTGATGGATCCAGTTCTTGTGTCCCTCGATCTTTGCCGCTGTATGGGAGATCAGCAGGACGGTATAGGGTCCTTTCCACTTTTCCTGGAGAGGCTCGTCTTTCCAGGTACGAACAAGCACAGAGTCACCGGGCTGTAAGGAGTGAACGGGAGAGTCCAAGGGGAGAGGCTGGGAATCCTTGGTATGCCTGTGAAGAGACAAGAGAACAGCAGAAAGGGAACACATATACTGTGACAAAAAAACATTACCCAACTCCCATTCCCCTGACAGAACCGGGGTGCCATTCATGGGCCATGCCCTTCCAAACATAATTTCAAAGGGACTGAGCCCTAATCTACCCTTTGGGAGAACGCGGATACGGAGTAGGACGAGGGGCAAAGCATCAGGCCATCGCAGTGAGGCTTCTTGGCACACTTTTGAGAGATGCCGTTTAAGGGTCTGATTGGTACGCTCCACTACACCACTGGCTTGCGGTCTCCAGGGTGTATGGAGTTTCCAGGGGATCCGTAAGGCATGTGAGATGCTTTGAATGATTTTTGACGTGAAGTGTGTCCCATTGTCAGATTCCATCCACAGGGGGAGTCCAAAGCGAGGAATGATCTCTTTAACAAACTTGAGGGCCACTGTTCTGGCAGTGCAGTTACAGCATGGGAAGGCTTCTGGCCATCCGCTGAACCGATCCACTATGACAAGGAGATATTTGAACCCTTGGGTCCGGAAAAACTCAGTAAAGTCTATTTGCCACACTTGTCCGGGGCCCGGAGTGGGTTCTAGGGCAGCTGGTGGCACAGGATGTCCCGGTCGGGGGTTATTCTTTTGGCAGACTAAGCAGTCCGCTTGTACCTGCGCAGCCAGGGGTTGGAGTCCGGAAGTGATAAAGTATTTTCCCATTAGCTGGATAAGTGCTTCCCTGCCAGCATGAGTGGTTTGATGTAGTTTCTGCAGCACTGGCCGGATTAGGCCCTTTGGTAAGAGGACCTTCCCTTCTGGGGAATGGAGCCATCCCTCCTTTTCCCGGAGACTGAGTTTGTCAGTTAGCTGTCTCTCCTCCCCAGAGTACTGAGGGGTTGGAAGCTCCCCTCCTGATGGGCTAAGGGCATGCATATGGGCGTTCTCAGCCTGAGGGGATGGCAGGGTGGCAGCATGCTTAGCCTCTCTATCTGCCCGGGCGTTACCTCTGGCCACATCTTGATCCTCCCTTTGATGGGCTTTACAATGTACCACCGCCACTTCCGAGGGGAGTTGTACGGCTTCTAGGAGCCGGAGGATTTGGGGCCCATACTTGACTGGGGAGCCTTGGGCTGTCAGCATTCCCCTTTGCTTCCATAGGCCAGCATGAGCATGCAGCACACCAAAAGCATACTTTGAATCAGTAAAAATGTTGACCCGCTTTCCTTTTGACAGTTCAAGTGCACGGGTCAGGGCTATTAGTTCGGCAAGCTGGGCAGAGGTCCCAGCAGGCAAACCTTCAGCTTCCACAGTGTCATGGAGGGTCACAACAGCATAACCCGCCCTCCTTTGCCCATCTATTACAGTACTGCTACCATCAGTGTACCACTCATGATCTGCATTTGGGAGAGGTACATCCTTTAAATCCGGACGGCTGGAGTACTGGACATCTATGATCTCTAAACAGTCATGTTTCTGTTCCTCTGTTTCTGGCAAGAGAGTGGCTGGGTTAAGGGAGGGGCAAGGCTGTAAGGTGACTTCAGAGTTCTCTAACAGCTTAGCCTGGTACCGAGCAATCCGAGCCTGGGTGAGCCAAAGCCCTCCCTTTGCATCCAATAAGGCTCGGACCATATGGGGAGTATAGATTTGCATAACCCCTCCCAATGTTAGCTTCTCGGCTTCCTCAAGCAATAGGGCAGTAGCTGCGACCGCCCGTAAACATGCCGGCCAACCCTTTGCAACCTGATCCAATTGCTTAGAAAAATAAGCCACAGGACGCTTCCATGCTCCTAACAGCTGTGTAAGCACTCCTAGGGCCACCCCCCTTCGTTCATGTACATACAACTGAAACGGCTTAGAGAGATCTGGCAGGCCCAGAGCTGGGGCTTCCATCAATTTTCTTTTCAGAATTTTAAATGCCCTGTCAGCCTCTGGGGTCCAATAGAAGGGGTCATGATCTGCTCCTTTTACACAGTCATACAGGGGTTTAGCCCACAGTCCAAACTCTGGGATCCATATCCTGCAAAAGCCTGCCATACCCAGAAATGCCCTGAGCCGCTTACGGTTACTTGGGGTAGGAACTTGACAGATAGCTTCCTTTCTTTTTTTTTCGCTTGAACGCTGGTGCTCCCCTTGCCTTAGCTGTAACCTGATCCCTCTCCACCTCAGACAACAGGGTTCTCAGGAGGATATTACAGTCGTCTCAATCGGCTTGTGACTACTGAGGCACCCCTCAAAGACTGATATAAACCTGCTTGCGTTGGTTGAGAATTCCCCAGCCTGTGTTTTAAAAGCTGCTAAGTCTATTGGATTGAATGGCACATGGGTTTAAACTTGCATAGTGGTAGCCTGACGTCCGTCTGCCCCTGGGCAAGCCACAACAGTCTCGGTAAGCAAAGGATAGAGTCCCACCGAGAGGGCAATCTCTGTAACCCGAGGCATCCTACCCTTATAAGGTGGGGGTGTGGGGGCCGAAGGGGACACCGGCTCTGCCATTACAGTGGGGGTGGGGGTCTGGGGACTAACATTAGCTGCTACCGAACCAGTCGGAGTCAGATTACAGCGCTGTAAAATATCTGGTTGAGTACATAAAGTCAGAAACAAATGCGCATACATATGTTCATTTCATTTCCTTGTTCTCTGACAGAACAGGAGTAACTGAAGGATCATGTTGTAATTAATTGACCCTCCTGGTGGCCACCACTCCTGGTCCTCTAGTTGATATTGAGGCCAGTCAACTGTACAGAATCGTTTTAATTGGCTCTTAGTCATCGGATCCGCACCAAATACCTTCCAGTTTGCTAGAATGCACTCTAGGGGCGTACACCGTGCCCTAACCTCTGAGCTCTGTCCCTGTCCCATACCTACAGGGTAACTCTGGGCGTCCCCAGGTTCCAACAGAGCATACAATCCGGATTTTAATAGGTTCCTACCTTATCCAAGGGTCCGGTTCTTCACCGTGGCCTGCAGCTGCTCCTCCCCCATGTCTAAGGGACCGGTTCTTCACCGCCGTCCACAACAGCTTCTCCACTATATGAGTGCGTTGCACCGTTGTGCCCTCTGGGGTCGATCAAATCGCGTCTCCTCCGAGGCCCCCGATGAACTCACCGGTGCGCGCTGGGCGTCGGTTCTCGCCGCAATCCTTGACCTCCAGGAGGGGTCCGGGCAAGGCTAAATTGCAGCCTCGTCGCCCACCCAGGGACGCCAAAAGCTGTTGCCGGCACCCAGTGCCGAGAGGCTGAACAACAGCTTGAGTGGTTCGTTACCCGGTGTGCTACACCCAATAATCACAACGGGGTGGAGAAGCAGAAAAGTTTATTTGCAGCTGCAAAAAGGTACAGGGAGAATAAAATCTCAAATCCTGCACAACAGAGCAGGAAGTTACACAGGCTTTTATACATCCTTTTACCCAGCATACTTATCCAATAGCAAGCTGCTCCAAGTATCCATATAGCCAGCCAATCCAGTTCCCAGCTAGTTCCCTGATTCTCTGTATCATTTGTTAAACTATACATAAAGCTGCTTTATTCAGCATTGTTCTTCCATATCTCCCCTGTTTGGCCTTGCTTAGTTTCAGGCAGTCTGACTCTGCAACATAGTGTTGCAGATTCTCAGCATAACTGCTGTGTGTGCCTCCAGGCGGGGGGGCCAAGGACACTTGGGCCTAGCACGCAGAGCTGCTGTGAGTGCCTCCAGGCAGGAGGAGGGGGGCCAAGGACACCGGGGCCTAGTGCGAGGGGGCTTCATCGACACTCGTGGTCTTCCATCCCCTCGAGTTACCTAGTGGCCATGCCCCAGTGTTCCCAACAAAAGTGACAACTCTTTACATAATCAAGTCGGGCTATTTCCTGCATAAATCCAGGTTTTCTCACATCCCCCCCACCCCCATACACACACAAACTCACTCTCCTGCTGGTAATAGCTCATCTAAACTGACCACTCTCCAAGTTTAAATCCAAGTTAAACCAGAACATCGGGGGGGGGGGTAGGAAAAAACAAGAGGAAACAGGCTATCTTGCATAATGACTTAGCCACTCCCAGTCTCTATTTAAGCCTAAATTAATAGTATCCAATTTGCAAATGAATTCCAATTCAGCAGTTTCTCGCTGGAGTCTGGATTTGAAGTTTTTTTGTTTTAAGATAGTGACCTTCATGTCTGTGATTGCGTGACCAGAGAGATTGAAGTGTTCTCCGACTGGTTTATGAATGTTATAATTCTTGACATCTGATTTGTGTCCATTTATTCTTTTACGTAGAGACTGTCCAGTTTGACCAATGTACATGGCAGAGGGGCATTGCTGGCACATGATGGCATATATCACATTGGTGGATGTGCAGGTGAACGAGCCTCTGATAGTGTGGCTGATGTTATTAGGCCCTGTGATGGTGTCCCCTGAATAGATATGTGGGCACAATTGGCTACGGGCTTTGTTGCAAGGATAAGTTCCTGGGTTAGTGGTTCTGTTGTGTGGTATGTGGTTGTTGGTGAGTATTTGCTTCAGGTTGCGGGGCTGTCTGTAGGCAAGGACTGGCCTGTCTCCCAAGACTTGTGAGAGTGTTGGGTCATCCTTTAGGATAGGTTGTAGATCCTTAATAATGCGTTGGAGGGGTTTTAGTTGGGGGCTGAAGGTGACCGCTAGTGGTGTTCTGTTATTTTCTTTGTTAGGCCTGTCCTGTAGTAGGTAACTTCTGGGAACTCTTCTGGCTCTATCAATCTGTTTCTTTACTTCTGCAGGTGGGTATTGTAGTTGTAAGAAAGCTTGACAGAGATCTTGTAGGTGTTTGTCTCTGTCTGAGGGGTTGGAGCTGGGAGGATGTTTCTAGTGCAGTCCCACAGGGGTCAGTCCTGAGTCTATTAACGTTCAATATTTTCTCTTGAATGACCTTGGATAATGGAAGTGAGTGTGCTTATAAAATTCCCAGATGACACCAAGCTGGGAGGAGTTGCAATCACATTGGATGACAGGATTAGAATTAAAAACAACCGTAACAAATTGAAGAATTGGTCTGAAATCAACAAAATGAAATTCAATAAAGTACAAAGTACTTCACTTAGGAAGGAAAAATCAAATGCACAACTACAAAATGGGGAATAACTGTCTAGGCAGTAGTATTGGTGAAAAGGATCTGGGGGTTATAGTGGATCATAAATTGAATGTGATGCAGCTGAGAAAAAGGATATCATCATTCTGGGGTGTGTTAACAAGAGTGGTGTATGCAGGACAGGGAAGGTCATTGTCCTGCTCTACTTGGTGCTGGTGAGGGCTCAGCTGAAATATTGTGTCCAGTTCTGGGTGCCACACTTTAGGAAAGATGTGGACAAACTGGAGACAGTCCAGAGGAGAGCAACAAAACTGATAGGTTAAATTTGGGCATGTTTTTTCTTGAGAAAAGAAGACTCAGGAAGAGGGGAATTTAAGGGTGTCATAAATATAAAGGGAAGGCTAACCATCTTTAAATCCCTCCTGGCCAGAGGAAAAAACCATTTCACCTGTAAAGGGTTAAGAAGCTAAAGATCACCGTGCTGGCACCTGGCCAAAATGACCAATGAGGAGACAAGATACTTTCAAAGCTGGAGGGGAGGGGAACAAAGGGTTCTCTCTCTCTGTGTTTTTTGCCTTTGCCGGGACCAGAGCAGGAATGCAGGTCAGAACTCCTGTAAAAAATCAGTGAGCAATCTAGTTAGATATGCATCAGATTCTGTTTTGTTTAAATGGCTGATAAAATAAGTTGTGCTGAATGGAATGTATATTCCTGTTTTTGTGTCTTTTTGTAAATTAAGGTTTTGCCTAGAGGGATTCTCTGTTTTGAATCTGATTATCCTGTAAGGTATTTACCATCCTGATTTTACAGAGGTGATTCTTGTTCTTCAATTAAAATTCTTCTTTTAAGAACCTGATTGCTTTTTCATTGTTCTTAAGATCCAAGGGTTTGGGTCTGTGTTCATCTATGCAAATTGGTAAGGATTTTTATCAAGCCCTCCCCAGGAAAGGAGGGGTTTGAAAAGGGGGGTTTGGAAGACATTTCCAAACGGGCTCTTTCCCTGTTATATTTGTTAGACGCTTGGTAGTGGCAGCAATAAAGTCCAGGGACAAAAGGTAAAATAGTTTATACCTTGGGGAAGTTTTAACCTAAGCTGGTAAAAATAAGCTTAGAGGGTTTTTCATGCAGGTCCCCACATCTGTACCCTAGAGTTCAGAGTGGGGAAGGAACCTTGACATGGTGGCAGAGCAGTGGGATTAACTTGAAATCATTTTGAGATCAACTTGAGATTTTTTTTTTGAACCAGAAACAGATTTTTAAAAAACAAAAATTTTTTTCCTTTGGGCTGCTGGAAAGCAGGTTTTAAGCTGAAAGCAGTTAGTTGTTTTTTGTCTCTGCTTAGGGGCCAGAGCAGAGACAAAAGGGAATTGTCTTTTGTGAGCTGGGAGTTTTCTCTACCTAAAGGCAGGGTGTTATCCTCCTGCAGGGAAATTCACAAGTCTTCACAGACCTGAAGAGGTGGATGTTGTGGGTTCTTTTGTTTGTTTTTACTTAAGAGCAACTGGAGGGTTTTTCTGTCTCTTTGTCTGGAGCCAAAGGTGTTGGGGTTTTTTTTAGGATTTTTCTGCAGGCTGACAATCACGATCAGACCCCATCGGTATCCGGGTACAGCACAATCTATATTTTTTGTTAACAAACAAAGTTTTTTGTTTTTCTTTCTAACTCTCGGGTGTAAAGTTAGTTAAAAACAGAGGCTAACGTGACAGAAACCAAGGCACAACACAAATTGGAGTTAACCAGACTGGAGGCAGCGAAAGAGGCAGAAAAAGCCCTAGAGGCTGCCTACAGGAGAGCTATGGAGGCAAGGGAAAAAGAGGAAGCATGCACTGGAGTTGGAGAAGGTAAGGGCTGAGTGGAATCTACTGGATAACCCTAACCATTCTTCCCCAACAATCCACAAATGGGAGTGACTATGTCCACAGTATGATGAATCCAGTGATATTGCTGAATATTTTCTCACCTTTGAGAGACTGTGCACTCTCCATAAAATTCCTGAAGCTCACAAGATGATCACATTGGTTGCAAAACTGACTGGAAGAGCTCTGGACATATTCAATAAGATGCCTATTGATGAGGCTTCTGACTAGAATAAGTTCAAGGATTTTGTTTTAAAGCAATTTCAAATTACATCTGAAACGTACAGAGTAAAATTTCGAACCCTTAAGAGAGGGCCTGGACTAAGTAATGTGGCTTATCTAAATCAGATGAAGGATCTGTTAGATAAATGGGTCCAAGGAAGGGGTGTCACTAGCTTTGACAAAATGTGTGATTTGATAGCTCAGGAGCAATTCCTGAATATGTCCAAGGAGGAAATAAAACAGTGTTTATGGGATAAGGAAATGGACTCAGCAGAACATCTTGCTTCTTATGCTGATTGATATGAGCAGTCCTGGACCAACAGAACAGGTGGAGGGAGGAGAGAGGAACAACCCTGGTCGCAGTTGGAGCAGATACCAGAAGGGACACCCTCAGACCACACCCTACTACCGGGAGCAGCCCAAGGCCCCAACTACACGCCAAGGAATACTCCAGACACCTTATCGTCCTGCCAAACTGTTCTCCAGTAAACCACCTCGACCCAGTGACCCATCAGCTGGACGATGTTTTAAATGTAAATCCGCCCTTCCCGCAGTGCATGGGCATCTCCAGTGGTTCTAGTTCCCAAACCAGATGGGGAGATACGTTTTTGCGTGGACTACCGTAAGCTAAATGCTGTAACTTGCCCAGACAACTATCCAATGCCATTCATAGATGAACTATTGGAGAAACTGGGATGGGCCCAGTTCATCTCTACCTTGGACTTAACCAAGGGGTTCTGGCAGGTACCCCTAGATGAATCCGCCAAGGAAAGGTCAGCCTTCACCACATATGTCAGGCTGTATGAATTTAATGTGCTCCCTTTTGGGCTGCGGAATGCACCCGCCACCTTCCAAAGACTTGTAGATGGTCTTCTAGCGGGATTGGGAGAATATGCAGTCACCTACCTTGACGATGTGGCCATATTTTCGGATTCCTGGGCAGAACACCTGGAACATCTACAAAAAGTCTTTTAGCGCATAAGGAAGGCTGGACTAACTGTTAAGGCTAAGAAGTGTCAAATAGGCCTCAACAGAGTGACTTACCTTGGACACTAGGTGGGTCAAGGAACTATTAACCCCCTACAGGCCAAAGTGGATGCTATCCAAAAGTGGCCTGTCCCAAAGTGAAAGAAACAGGTCTAATCCTTCTTAGGTTTGGCCGGATATTACAGGCGATTTGTACCACACTACAGCCAAATCGCCC